TTAGGAAGAAAACAGTGAAAAACTCATGGAAGCATGTAAAAAACTATTTATTAAATTATATGGAGTAACATTGACTCTACAAAATAGATGTAAAATATTCTGTACATAAGGTAGTAACTTCTTTCATTTTTCCAAACACATTATGAGATTAATAAGCTTGTCTTTATTCTCCAAATACATGGTTTAATCCTACTGACTTACTGTTAGAGACATTAATTTTCCCAAAGAATCCACAGAGACATATAATTCTGCTTTTACCACTCTAGTTCTATTCTAATAAATTCTGTCTCCTTAATGAGTAATTGAACAAAGCCATGTGCTCTATCTACTATATGATAACATAGAATAGTATGTGTTTCCTCATCTACATTAAGTTACACATTCTCTACATTAGGATATGACTTGACTTGTCCTCATCCCCATGAAATGCAGCTTCAATAATTATATTCAGTGTTTGCCAGAAATCAACACTCGATCTTGTTGTTTCTAGATTATAAAACATCTAGTCCCATGCACATGGGGAGTTGAAAGATAATGTCTAACAAGCAGTCAAGTGAAAAATCCTTATGATGTTGCTTACTTTCTAAATTCCACTATTTGGTTTCCATAGAGGTTATCCAATTAAAGCATGCACTGCATATGGATATATAATTTTTCAAGTTATTCAACTGCAGTTTAGTCCACTGTGGAATGCATGGAGTTTGACAAACAAATAGATGAAGTGGCTTGGAATCATACAAAGAGAACAGATGATTAAAAACCTTTCTGAAATCGTTACTATTTCAATACAAGTGCAAATACCAAGGCAAATACTGCTACAAATATCTAGCCACCAAATCTTGAACATGCAAGTTTTTAAATGTGAAGAAGTAATCTGTTGAGAAAGAAAGTGTGGAGAAAACTATTCCTTCCTAAAATCTGCTATTGTTTGGCTATAGTAACATAATCTACATTGAATTATGGAATTTCCTACTGGACCTGTAAAGCTTGAAGTTTATAGGATGGAGAAGGAAGAAGAGGAAGGAAAAAAAAAAAGTAGAAATATGGAAGCTATTTCAAT